GTTAGGGCGGCTAGGAGCTGGAACCAACTTCCAAGGGAAGTGGTGCTGGCCCCTACCCTGGGGGTCTTTAAGAAGAGGCTGGATGCCTACCTGGCTGGACTCGTTTGAGTCCCATTTCTCTTTTTGGGGTTTTTTGTTGTTCTCCCGCCCTGGCGGGGGGTCGGGCTAGAAGATCTACTAGGTCCCTTCCGACCCTTAATCTATGAATCTATGAATCTATGTATTTTAGAGGAATTAAACTGAATCCTGGAGCATTTAGGAATTTGCTCATCACCATCACTAATCCAGTAGGAACCAGAAAAAGGTGTAGCTTATCTCACTAGTCTTGTGTGACTTACAAACAGAAAGAAGGGAAACTTCAGTGACACCCAGAAGATCATACTGACTTAACACCAGTCATGCACATACTTTTCATTTGGTAGTTTTATAAAGCTGCATGGGAATTTGGGTATGTCTCCATGGTATAATACAGAGATATCCAAACCATCTTGGGTACCAGGATGATTATACAGGCACATTAATGCTGCAGTCTTCCTGTGCTAAAACTTTTTAAATGCTCTAAGTAGCCTGGGAGGAACACAACACTAAAGCACCTATACTCTTACCTATACCAAAGCTGATTCATGAAAAGCTAGTTCAGGGATGTCTGCAGGGCACAGAAGTGTGCCCTTATGTCCTTTGGATTATTTGGAAGGGTGTGGAAGCTACTAGTTTAAGAAGATGGAAGGTCATTACTGTCAGCAAATAATGTGCCAATAGTCTTTACTAGATAAGAATTGATTCTTACTATGTGTATGGAAAGCACCTAGTGTATCACTGATGCTAACAAAACTTGATTTTGGACTCTAAAATCAATTACAAAATGTATTTGTGCTAAATTGGTTAGCTTCAATAAGTCATGCAATTAAAGAGCAGAGGTAGACCCATATAACATATTAAATCTAAGTAAGAAAATACAAATTATCAGTGCTCACATACTTCACAAACTCTCTGCTAGCCATGAATTATTTGCAAAATTAATTTGTGAATCATCTCAAATAATATATGCATCCAAATACAGCTTGCAAAATTAAAAAGCAAAACAATTATTTGCTGAGATTATCATCTGTTCTGGTAATTAGTATGTAATCTTTACTGTGATTTAGAGGACAAATATTCTGTAATTATTTTAACATATGGTACTTTTTATTCATTACCCTCCTATTATATTGCATTTAATATGGAGTTATCCTGAATTTCTTACCACAGAAAAACTGAAATGTTTGGCTAGAATTAAAGACTTCAAGACTGAGCTTCAGCCAATAGAACGGCTAGCTGTTACTCTCTAAAAGTAAATAAATAATTATTATTTATTATTAGCAAGTACCAAGTACCTAAAAGGATGCCAGACTTTCCTCAAAGACGTGAAACAAAATAGTGGGGAAAAGGCACACCAAATATAGCAATATCCTCTTTGCTGTTTTGTCTCCAATCTAAAATAGACAAAACAGAGGATATAACTATCAGCAAGCAACTGATGTGCAGTCTTACATGCAATTTCACTTCCATAACTTCATTCTTTCTTTTTTAACTTGCTCCTTTTCCCTTTATCTATTTCATCACCTGGGTCTTATTCAGGCTTCCCCTCCAAAACAATATCATTTTGCCTTATTTTATGTCCCATTGACTTT